GCTTATTTCTCCACTTTTATTACAAAATGGGTGAGCTTTGTAGTACTTATTTTGTGTTTTTCACTCAATTACGCTACACATGAGGATGTCTCTTCACTCGAACACATGCAGCCAGATGGGGGCTCACGGCGAGTTGCCACCTGAAGTGGTGACGACTAGTGGTGTCCGGCAGGGATGCCCATTATCCCCATTTCTTTTCAATTTCATCATAGATGTATTAATGGATTTAACCCTAACTCACTTCAGAGACTCAGGAATTGACATGCTACCAAGGAATTATCTCGTTGACTTAGAATATGCAGACGATATAATCCTTCTAGGCGAGGACGCTGACAAAATGCAGAGTCTTTTGAACACCTTGAGCTGCAGTATACGAATATTTGGCATGCGATTCGCTCCCGCCAGATTTAAGATGATGTTGCAGGACTGGACTACACCGACTCCTAGATTAGAAATAGGAAGTGAAGTGGTGGAGCACGTTGACCGCTTCACTTATTAGGGAAATACGATCAGCCAGTGCCAACGGGTTGATCTCTGACGAAATCTCAGCACGGATACAGAGGGCTAGTCTCACATATTCCAGTTTACGCCGTCTCTGGCATAGACGCGATATCCGGCTTGCTGTTGACCAAAGAGCGGGTGTATTGCTCATCAGTCCGCTCCGTCCTTCTCTATGGCTGTGAGTGAGACATGGCCATTGAGAGTGGAAGACATGAAAGGGCCGGCTAGCTGCCTTTGATCATAGGTGCCTGGGTTCTAATTCCCCTGTAAAGTGGTATAATAATAAGGTGAGCAATATTGAGGTTAGGCGTTGAGTGCTAGGTAAACAGGGGAAATCAATCGACGAGGCTGTGAAGTTACATAGACTGAGATGGTTAGGATATGTGTTAGGTATGTCTAGTCATCGCCTTCCTCGACGGGCAATGTTAGCTGACATAGGATGGATCAGGTTGGAAAAGAGCCAGTGGTGGTCAAACCAAAACATGGCTCTATGAATCAATTAAATCCACAGCAGTTAGTTTAAGCCACTTGGGAAGGGGTAGACTTCCTGACTGGTTGGGGTTCTCGGGACGACAAATCCAATGGTTGGAAACAATTGGTGATATGGCTCAAAATTGTTCTCAATGGTTGGCTCAGATGCATCCACTCCTTGTGACTTATGATCTCCAATGCAACTGTTTTGTTTTTCTTTATTACTCCTTTGTCTCACACCTCTGCTCACTGTTTCTATTATGCTTTTCTTGTACTTTCTTCTCTTGCTTCGCGTGCTACACGGAGTGTGGCGACTTGAACTTCTGCATATCAGTGGAAAGTTCTATGTCGAAAACAGACAGAAAGACAGTAAGGATGTCATCAGTAATCTAAGTGTGGGTGTAGTGAAGTCTCAACTAAAAACAAATTAATGAAACAAATACGACACTCTCATTTACGTATATCAACACCCAGTAGCTTCAGGGTTCAAATATCGCTACATTTACCTTAGTCTGCGGGTAACTGACTGACTGACTGAGTAATATCAACGGCCCTCATTCAATTATAAGCATGGTTCATAGTCTGGTACCATATAACTGAATTCTTTTCAACACTTAGTTGTAAAAGATATTTTTTTCCAAGTATTCGTAAAGCCGGTCAGATATTGGTATCTCTATTGGCTAATGAATGTATTACCTAATCTAAGAAGGGATGGATTAATGGGGATTAAAACAGCGGAAACTAGAATCGCATAGTAAGTGTGGTGAATGGAAATATGGTTAAGTATTTGTATAAAATCTGTATACTATATATAGTATGGCAACTGAATGTCGGTAATTCTATTGAACAGAGAGGTGCATACAAAATCATTTCGTAAGACATATGGGGGACTGTGTGCAGCTAGCAAGCTCACGGGGGGGAGGGGACTTAAGACAGGACTTTTGTGTGGAAAAGCACTAAAGACACCCACTCGCCTTACTGTAGCCAGGAGAAACATTCTTGCAATCATTTTGTTTTAGTTTATGCCTATAATTATTATTATTGGTGCTTTTAATATCATTGCATTTTTCTCATACAGATTTTATACAAATACTTAACCATATTTCCATTCATATATATATATATATATATATATATATATATATAGCCAGAGTAAAATTCTTGCCATAATTGCTTGATGTTTTATTTTAATAAGGTTTTTCTAATAGTTGTTATTATTATTGTTGTTCGTTAATAATGTTGAGTTTCTGATACAGATTTTATATAAACACTTTACCGTAGTTCCATTAGCTTTTACCCATTTATAGGCTGACTAGTCACAATTATTAAGTAATTCTGACTTCCCCACCTTGTGCGTCGGTAGCATAGCGATTAGGACTCTCGCCGATCATGCACACGTTCCGGAGTTTGATCCCCTCCCGACGCACACCTAAATATCTATGGTCAGCCAGCAAAATTTGGCCTACCGATATCATATGCTGAAAATTTCATACTGTGTGGTTTCAAGCTATACTAAAAAAATATCCACTTCTCTGACTTCTTGGTGGGCTATGAGTGCTTCAGGTCCTCAGTTGTGAATTTTGCCGTAATGGTTTTTTGTCTACGGGGTGGGGTTTCTAGCCTTCCATCTTCACACGAATGACTACCATCTAAGGAGTGGTTTTAAGGGTGTGTCGGCCGGGGATCGAACCCGGACCACTTGTGTGTGCATGTGTGTGTGTGTTTGGTAAGCGTCGCATCACTAAACCACCGACGGACTACATACCGCATTATGTATTACATTTTAAAGATATTTATTGTCTCACAGTTCCGGATACTCTGAGTGAATCAATAGAGACTGTCTAATGGTGGTAAGGTAACATACTTGATGGTTAACTAACTAGCTTACTGACTAACTCTCATCTTTTGTACATTACTCTAATTTTTACCAAGCAATTAAATATTCATATTAAATATCGAGAATAAATCAAAAGGCTATTCATCAAAGAGTGACTCCTTTTTTATTCAAGTGTTGGTTTGTATGGATTTGATTGGTTACAGGATTTCATTATGAGCTGATATTAGTTACAGAACCATTGGAAACTAATGTCAGCTCATGATGAAGTCCTGTAACCATTCAATCAAATCCCTACAAACCAACACTTGAATATCAATGAGATGCTCACTAGCGACTTGCCCTATTCAGGTAGGTAGTTACCTGGAGTTCTAGTGAGAAGTTGTGACCAGTGGGGTGCAGCAGGTCGAGCTCGCCTTGTAACCAGATGGTCCTGGGTTCAAATCCTGGCGATGGGTGCGTACTGATGATGAGTCCCGAACTAGGCTGAACAAACAGGTGGCTGTTCAGTACTCCCTGTAGGTTTTCCAATGGTTCTCTAACTAATGTCAGCTCATGATGAAATCCTGTAACTCCTTTTTTTCTCCAACTACTCACTCATCTTTAGAAACTGTACAATTCTTGTAAATACTCAACTTTTTTTTATTTTAACTGTAATTTATCTAGTGTGACACTTGAAAAATAATGGGCGTACTGTTAAGCGTGTGAAGGGAATGAAAGGAAATCCTTTTCAGTATTTTGACTGTCTAGTGATTTGATAAGTTTCGTACTCCTTTTCTCTGCTCTGTTTTGGCTTACTCTGTCAACATACTCCATGAAATCAAATAATAAATCCTCAGGGAGTTCATCGACCGCAAATTTCTTCTGTGATAACTTCCTTTCTGTTATGTACTCGTCTCCAAATTATTGCTATGTACTGGTCGCGAATTTAATAGTCCTGACGCAAGAAAGACGGAAATCAGAAGACCACTAGGTTTGCGATGATACTTCTATTTTCCAAACACAGGGAGAATGCAAAAGTGGTATCACACCAAAGTAAGTAGTCACACAAGATTGTGTGAGCGAAATATATATGAATGTCCAGACAAGTGTGTGAGCAAATCAATGGACAGTCTTAACATGAATGGCTAATTATAATGAAGTATCGATCCATATATACATAGCAAAATATAGCAGACATGTCAACAACCACACATATAATATGGATATCTGTCACCAAGCAACGGACTGTCAACAAACACTCATATTATATATAATATAAGGGGAATATACATTGATAAAGGAGACAGGTTCATCAAAGTGCAATGGTCACAGACTAAGCGAGCAAACAGAAAGAGAGATCACCATACACACACACATATATATATATGTGGATACATATCACTTTCAATATCCGAAATGTGAATTTTTAAAGAGTCCAATTGATTAAGTGCATAACGTTTCAGTGATCGGGACATTGGATAAACTTTATTACGGCGAAGAGATTTCCAGTAAATTTTAGGATATCGATTATTATTTAAAAAGCCATTTATAAAATCTAAACATGTTTTCGCTTCTGTGAGTCTGACATTACACTTCAAGTACTCATTGAGTGCCCTTAATGCACCGGGATACCCACGTGATTTTATATCTTTAAATATTCCTATTTTTAATATTAGAACAAGATATATAAGCGAACAATATTATTTTCAATTGGATCTTCATCAGGCTTACCTCTAATTGAGAAAACAGATAATATTACTTCTAATAAGTCCGAATAGTATAAATCTAAAATTCTATAGTATTGAGGGAATGTTTGCATAAAGGGCATAAATTATGACGAATAGTAATAATTGTAATAATAAGCAAAGGAAAAGGAAATAAACCAAGAGGGTTAAGGGGAAGGAGCACTCTTGGTGAGAAGAAAACTCATCAGCCCAAGTTTGGTCACGGTAGGAACAGCGTCTGGACGTGTTCTTTTTGGATACAAAGTTCCGGTTTAGTCGATCTAATTGCAACAGCTTCAGCTCTAATTTACATAGATTTATATATAAAAAATTTAACCAATGACGGTGATTTTGTGGATCTAATAATAATAATAATAATAATAATGTGGTAAATGTTTTTATTTTGCTGATTATTAGAAATATATATTGTAAAAGAAAGTATAATATCCATGTGTTGTTGTTATTTTTTTAAAATTTTCGACTATTAGGATTATCTTCCAACTAGTCCCGATCGTCGTGTCACTGTATTATCGGATAAGCGTAAACAATACTCTCTATTCGTCAGTCAATATTTTCATTTACGTGAAAATCCCAAGCATAAACCAATGTTTCATCAAATTCAAAAAGATTTAACTAGAATGACGCTACTCTACCGTCGACCTGAAATGGTTGCTGTAAGTGAGGTTTTTTCTCTTCTTTTTTTTGAAGAATCAGTGTTTTGGATAATAACAGTCATTAGCTTTATATTCTGATTAACTTTGAGAAGGCATTCGACAGCGCCGACCGAGAGGTGATTTGGCAACTACTTTGCTACTACGGGGTGCCACCAACAAGTATACATCTCATCCAACAGTTGTACGACTATGCTGCATGCCAAGTAATCCACGACGGGAAACTTACGGAATCCTTCGAAGAAGTGAAGACGGGAGTAAGATAAGCTGGATGCCTATTATCGCCAATGATTTTCCTGATTGCAGTAGTTTGGATAATGCGACAGACAGCGGTGGCCAATGAGGAAACAGGCATAAAATGGACTCACACAAAAAACTGGGTGGACCTGGACTTCACCGAATTCCCACAAACTGGAAGATATGCAAGTGAAAAGCAACAAGTTAGCAAAAGAAGCGTCAAATATAGGACTCCAAGTAAACATAGAGAGAACTGAAGTGGTGAAGATCCCTAGCCAACACTAACAGCAACAACAACAACAGACAACAATCAGCATAAATAGGAAGAACCTGAAAGAAAAATTCTCCTTCACCTACCCACCTCTGAAGCATCGTTTCAACTATGGGAGGACAATACTGTTGAGGATATCAAAGCGAGGATCGGAAGAGCAAGACAAGCTTTCATTACTCTCAAGTCTGTGTGGAGGTCAACATCACTCAGCACGAGAATGAAAATAAGATCTGGATTTTCAACTGCAATATGAAGTCAATGCTACTATACGGATCAGAGACTTGGCGCATCATAAAGAGCACCTCAAACAGACTACACACCTTCATCAACAGTTGTTTTCTCTCAATACCCAAGATCAGATGGCCACTAAAGATCAGCAGCAGAGATCTCTGGGAGCGAACCAACCTAACAGGAACCGATTGTGAAACAAATAGGCAGGAAAAAATGGAGATGGATGGGCCATACTCTGAGGAAACCAGCAAGCGACATCACTAGACAGGCTGTCGAGTGTAACTCGAAAGGGAAGTGGCAAGCTGGCCGTCAGTGTGAAGGTAACTTGCAGAAGGTCACGTGTGGGCAGACTTGGAGCGGGGTGAAAACGTTGGAAGAGAACCGAACGCAATGGAGACGTGCGTCTGAAGCCCTATGTTCCTCTAGGAATTAAAGGAAATAATGATAATAATCTGATAGTAAATACCTCCTCTTTTTTAAAAAGGGTTGTCACATATTGATATTAGTTAGTAGAGGACCTCTTCTCCAAAGATCGAACCCCAAGACACCTTCATTTTACGATACCAAGCTCGTAGTCCATTTTTCGCCATTTGCGCGGGAGTTCAATGGCCCCAACGATGAATTCTGGCTTCCTTCAGTTCACAATTTTTGGCATTACTGCTAACCAATATCATCGGCGACTGTGTTTTCTCACTCGCAGTCTGATGGACCTCACTAATGGTCACTGCTTCTCACTAGAATTCCAGGCAACGTCGTCCTGTAGCCAGCCAGTCATTAGCGAGCCTCACCTTAATTTTCAAATTCAATTTGAGACAAACTAAATTGCTACAAACTAACTCTTGAAAATTAATCTGATGCTTTGCTTGTCACTGGCGACAGAGCAACGTTGACTGGAGTTCTAATGCGAAGTCATGATCAGGGAGGTCTATGTGTTTGGGAGTGAGGAAAAATACTCGCCGATAATATGGACTGGTGCTAGTCGCGCTAATATCACGAGTCCCAATGGCTTAATGGTCTACGAGCTCGCCCTGTAACCAGAAGATCCTGGGTTCTTCCCCTGATGGTGGGCGAGTGCATACTGATGAAGAGTTCCAAACGTGGATGAAACACCTGTCCAATAATCTCTTGTTTTCACTGGTTCTCCGGAACTGATATCAACCCGTTATCCAACCTGAAACAAATATCTGCTGTTCAGAATTCGTTGAATTATCGCTGCTGAAAGTTCAGAATATGAGGCTAAGACTAGAGGCTTTTAATCATTAGCGATTTTGTTTCTTTTCCCATATCAGGCGAAACACTATGGAGACTGTAGTGGTACATAAGGGCAATGGGTTATACTATAAGATAATCAAACTTTACTGATTGAGGTAAGCAAAACATGCTTTGTGCGTGTTTATTCATCGCCCTCCTCGGCGAGTGATATTATGAGTTAAAGAAACACGAAATAAAATCGAAAACTAGTATATATTCTGCAATGCAATATTTCTGTTAATTTTATTTCTGATGATGCGATATGCAACTTAGTTTTAGTGATGATCAGGAAAGTTTTGTTTTTGCTTATAGGAAGTGTGTGTGGGTGGTTATTACTCTCCAGTTGCCCACAATGTGAAAGTTGACTTCTTTCTTGATTACAGCTGACTCCAAAATTCACAGGGCAAATATCCCGTTACGATCAATTATATCACTCCCAATAACGCCAACATATAATATATCTAAAGAATTATACAGAAAACTGAAACACCTAACGGAATCTTGTGATTACTCCATCAGTTCTGCTATCCAATTCATAGAAAAAATCAAAGGCATCCAAATAGATGAACAAGAGATAATGATATCCTTCGACGTGACAGCATTATACACCCCAATCGAACAAAAACTAGCAAAAGAAACCATGGAGCAATTATTTAACAACGACGAACACCTTCCACAACAATCAAAAATGCAACACACACAAGCTAAATGGAATGCATAAACCTATGCCTAACAAAGTACTTCCAATTCAATGGCCTAATATATGAACAAGTCAGAGGAACATCCATGGGATCGCCAGTATCAGGTTTGATTGCAGAAGCAGTGATGTAAAGGCTGGGAAACATAATTTTCCAAGGATCAAACCCAAGATTTGGATACGTTACGTAGACGATACATCTGTAATAACCAAAATAAATGAGTTGAATAAAACTGACAACTTAATAAACAACGTCTTCAAAGACATCAAATTCACAAGAGAAGAGGAATCCGAGAACCAAATCCCATTTTCGGACATCTTAGTCAAGCGAACAACCACAGGGGAATTAGAAACTCAAGTTTATAGAAAATCAACTCACACAGACCAAATCCTGAATTACAACAGCAACAATGCAAATAACACACAAAAGGAATTGCATACAAACACTATTCCAGAAAGCAAGGACTCATTACAGCACTCCCTTCTTAAGGGAAATTGAAGAAAGGTATCTCATGGACGTCTTTAAAAAGAATGGATATCCATGGAATTTCATCAAAACACATATACCCACAAGCCAATCTATCAAATCAAAGGCCCCCGAGGAAAGCACAAAGAAAATTGCCCTACCATAAATCAAGGATATCTCAGAAATCACTGCAAGACTCTTCAAACCTTAGTGAGAAATTAACGTCGCACACGAACCAACAAAATCACTTCACTCAGCTGGCTCTATGTCAACCAAAAGACTCAACAGCGAAAGAAGATAAAACCAACATCATCTACAAAAAATAAATTGTAATAACTGCGAGAAACACTACACTGACCAGAGAGACTACCCTCCCCTTAGTCTTCGTATCCACGATCATAAGCTAGCCATCAAAAGACATGATATCCACTCCCTCGCTCATATCACTCACTGCATACAGACAACCACGGACATCAATTTGACTGGGACAACCAACATTCAAATATTGGACAGAGAAAACAACAATAATGCTAGAGACTTTTTAGAAGCGTGCCTGGTATTCCAGTGAATCATCAATCAATAGACACCACATCGAGACAGACACAATTTATCAACCGATAAGAAAGAAGCCTCACACACAAACGGTTAAAGTTCAAGTCGAAGAAACAATCAGTTACAATACAAGTAACCTAGAAGGCGTGAAAATACACAAAAACAACCAATCACGCCCAAGGTCATTCATCAGGAGAGATGTTTAATAAACTTGTGGAGAAATCTAAAAGCTCACTTCAACGCAAATTGAAGTATTCGCTGAAGATGTCGCCTAGTAGCGGGATGAGAGCTTCGCAAATTAACTGCCATCCAGCTCAAAAAACGCGATCACAACAAAATCATCCGCCTGAGCTACAAATCTTCTGTATCGTACCTCTGTACGCAGCAGCGCTCTCCGCCTCACTTCTATATTGCTCAACACATTACGCCTTTATAACACGGGAAATAGAATGCAAATATTCGTGATTGAAAACTGCTAACCTCTACACATCTCCCATTTTCAATGATTGTGTTTGAAATTTAGCATTGTCAACTAATATGCATAAGTTTGTTGTTTTTCTTTTCTTGAAGTGATTTTTACTATACTGATTGTATTCCTTATCCTTCCCTTATCTTTCTCACCTTTCTTATATATCGTAATGATAAAGATGTTTGAAAGAATATTATTTGTTTGGTCAATGCGACATCCTGGAAGTGGTTATGTTCAAGGTATCAATGATCTGCTAACCCCATTCTTTATTGTATTTCTATCGGAATATACGCATGTTGGTAAGCATCACTGCTACTGTAAACGTTTTCCCTATTTTTAGAGTAAATTTAATGCGAATTGAATTCTTATATAAATTATCCGTGTTAATTGTCTTCTTCATGCATATATGCTAATCCAGTGGTATATTTCATGATGAAATAGGTTTTCTTAAGGGTTTCAGTCGTCCAGGAGTAGAATGCCTGTTATAGCCCCAAGCTCATGATTATGGTCAGTGCACGCCTAAACGTCATCTGGCTGGCCGGTGGTTAGCCGGAATAGAGGAATGGTTGGTTGTGTGAGGTTACTAGCCTCTCACCACTTAAAAAAAACACAAGCACTCCGTGTTGAAATCTCAAAGATTCTAGCAGTCAGAATGCAAAAGAATGTGAAAACACTTTGCTTAGAGAACTTGTCAAACATTGACCGAGCAGCCCTGAAAAGTTGTTTGAGTCTCACCTTTGAGAGACTGTTTAACAGCGTTCATGTACATGGAACTGAGTTGAAAAATGTCAAGTAAGTGCTGTACTATCCGATTATTACGTTATTATAATAATGATAACAATAATAATAATAATTGCATGAAGGATTTCATCATGAGCTGTGACACCATTAGATCCGGGTCCCAGTGGCTCATTGGTCTACGAACTCGCCTGGTAACCAGAAGGTCCTGGGTTCGAACCATCGCGGTGGGTGCGTACCGATGAAGAGCCACAAACTAGGACGAAAGAGCTGTCCAGTACTCCCTACTGGTTTTCCAATGGTTCACTAACTGATGTTAGCTCATGATGAAAGCCTCCACCCAATCAAACTAATTACATGCTTCAATATCGAGCTGAACAGTAAGCGGCTGTCAACATGGTGGAATTTGATTTGTCACTTATCTGACTAATGAATAGGATCAATGGATTCCGACCCAAGTAGCTGAAGTTCGCGGGTTCACTCCCTCGTTATGGGGTTCATGACTGCGTGTTGTTGAAGAGTGTTGCACTAAGACGAAACACATATCCAGTATTTCATAGGATGTTTTTTTTCAAGGTTTTTCTAACTGACATCAATCCGTAATCAAACTTGAAACAAATCAATTCCCTACAAAAATTAACTGTTGAAAATCAATATTTGTATAATTTAAATTCTGACTGATAGGAGTGTTAAGTTACTCTGTGGTCACATATAGATAGCATAATAGTTGTATTCATATTGCCTATATGAGAATGTGTGGTTGGCCAAGTTAGGTTTTGTATCTCTGGTAAGATATTCAAATAACTGATCACTTTCTTTCAGTGACTTTAGTGTTACTTTTTTTTTAATTTATAGTCTAATTTAAAAAAAAATTTATTTCTTTATTAATGTAACGAAGTTGTTATCTGACACAGACATCTATCAACAACGGTACAAGGTACAGATTTACTTAACTATCACACAATGTCATCATGAATAAGTTCATTCCATTATGGGTAAAATGTGTTTTGATAAAGTCTCACAGTGTTTTTGCTAGTAGAATGTATGGTACTATTAAAATACATAAGCTAGGTTACCCCATACGACCAATAGTAGATTTTAGAAATGCCCCTATTTATGAATTATCAAAACACTTAGCTCTAATATAATGCCCCATTAGAAATCGTTCAAACTCTAGACTAGCTAATTCATATGAGATCAAAAATAAACTAAACAACATTCAACTAGAGAATGATGAAAAAATGGTTACTTTTGTTATAACTAGCCTTTATACTAATATACCAACTAGTCAATATGGCAGCCTTAGAAGCAGTTTAAAAAGGACTAACTGCAGATCCTGAACTCACTTATAGGATGAAGCTACCCATTGAAGAAATTATTTTAGGAATTCAATTATGCCTCACATCTACTATCCTTAAATTCCAAGGTAAAATATATTGACAAACAGAAGGTGTAGCAATGGGATCACCAATATCCCTGATCTTAGCAGACATATTTATGGACAGCTGGGAAAGTAATGCTTTTAATACGTCTAATCCTACTCCAAAAGTATGGTGGAGATATGTGGGTGACACTTTCACAGTGTTAAAAACAGAACATATCTCTAGCTGCTTGACACACGTAAACTCACTAGTGGAGGGAATAAAATTCACATTTGAAACGGAAAATGAACAAGGAGAATTATCTTTGTTAGATTGTAAAATAAAACGAATAGAAGAAGGTATACTACACACTAGTGTGTACAGAAAACCAACTCATTCTAATAGAGACTTAGACTTTAATTCATCTCATCCGCTGTCTGTCTGTCTGTGAAGGCTGGCTTAGTTAAGTGTTTAACAAATCGAGCAGTAGCACTAAGTAGCACAAGAAAAGACCTAAATGATGAAATAAAACAGATAGAAGAGGTTTTGGTGTTAAGTAACTATCCTTTAAAATTCATTAGGAAGATCAAAAAAGGCCAAACGAAAAATAAAAATAATTGTGGAACTAGTAATGATAACATAAATAAGAGAGAATATAAGTCATCTACAGTTATACCGTATAAAGAGGAGACATCTGAAACCCTACGTAGGATTCTAAATAAAGCAGGAATTAGGGTGGCGTTTAAACCTACAAACTCACTCAGAGACAAGCTCTGTAGGCTAAAGGAGCCGGTGGACCCAATTAAACCAAATAATGTACCTTACAAAATACCTTGCCATGACTGTGAGTTAAGTCAACTACATAGGTCAAACTAGTAGGTCAGGGGTAGTCAGATTGTCGGAATTTAGCTAAGGTAAGAATGGTTGACCCCGAGAAGATAAGTAATTTAGAAAAAAGCTCAGCAATTGCAATGCATGCGCTAACACACAACCACACAATAGGGTGGAAGAGGGTTAAAATTCTAAAAAGTAATCTAGGTAGGTGGAGAGAGAGGTTTATTACTGAATTATTGTTCATCGAGTCTACACCAAACACATGCAATAGGAATGATTCATCATTCATACCTGAAATATGGAAAATACTACTATCAATAAAATTAAACGAAAATCAAGTGGAAAATAACTGAACTATATAAATAAAGTTAGGAAGTCGTGTGAATAACTGACTTGATATGATTATGAGCAATAAATTGTGCTTGAAACGCTGTCATCATTAAACATGACTGTATAACACTGTGAGACTTTATCAAAACAAATTTTACCCATGGTGGAATTACACTCTACCACAGTGCACAAGTTTTATTCTTATATGAATAAGTTCATTTATGTAAGATCAACACTTACTACGGTGTGTGTGTACCCAATTGTTTCATTGTTCGTTTGAATCGTTAAAAGTAAAAATCCCATATTAGTTTGATTATTAAATGTATCACACAGTGAAACAGTATTGTATACTGGATTTCACTGTGTGATACATTTAATAATCAAACTAATATGGAATTACTTAATACCACAGTGCCCAAGTTTTACACATATATTAAAAGTAAAAATCTTTTTATTCAGTTAATTATTCACACTTATTATGGGGGGTCAAGTGACATTTTGTTGACTCTGGTCAAGTATTTCTTACTATTAGTGTAGGTATTCTTGTAGATTCTTAGAAATTGTTTTCACGCGATCAGAAGTATAACACACTTAGAACTCCAGGATTATCCTAAAGCTGGATAGTCTATTTGATTTCAAGATCTATGTGGTAGACATAGTTTCTTTCTTCATATTATTATCAGGTATCATGAGATTTTGACTATAAGGACATAATCATCTAATAAAAAACCAATCCATGTAAGATCATGATACTACAGGACTGAACTACATTGACTCCTAGCTTAGAAATAGTTAGTCACCGCTTCACTTATTTGGGAATTTGCATCAGTCAATGCCAACGGGTTGATCACTGATGAAATCCCAGCGGGGATACAGAAGGGTCGTTTCGCATATGCCAGTTTACACAGTCTGTGGCCTAGTAGACGTGATATCCGGCTGGCTGTCGACCAAAGGGCGTGTTTACTGCTCAGCAGTCCTCGCCGTCCTCCTTTATGGCTGTGAGAGATACCTGGCTATTGAGAGTGGAAATACATGAAAGGGCCGGCTAGCTCTCTTCGATCTTAGGTGCCTGTGTTCTATCTCCAGTTTGAAGTGGTATAATAGGGTGAGCAATACTGAGGTTAGACTTCGGTCTACTGCTAGGTAAGGAGGGGAAATCAATCAACTAGGTTGTGAAGTTACAGCGATTGAGATGGTTAGGATACGTGTTACGCACGCCTTTCCACCGCCTTCCTCGACAGGCAATGTTAGCTGACATAGGATGGACGAGGTTGGTGAGGAGCCAGTGGTGGTCAAACCAAAAGATAGCTCCATCAGTCAATGAAATCCACAACAGTTAGTTTAAGCCACGTGGGAAGGGGTGGACTTCCTGACTGGTTAGGGTTGACAATTGATGCGGCTGAAAGTCGTTCTCAGTGGCTGGCTCAGATGCATCCACTCCTTGTGACTTATAATATCCAATAAAACTTTATTGTTCCTCTATATTCCTATTGTTTTCGCCTCATATCCTTGTTTACTGCCTCTGTTTAGCCTTTCTTTTTACTTTCTTCTTTTGCTTTTTATGGTAAATGAAGTGTGACAACTCGAACTGCTGCACATCTGTGTAAACTTCTACGTAGAAAGTAGTCGGTCATACATGCTTTTCTTTAACTGTTAGTTCAATCCACATTTGCAGTTTTTGACTGCCTTATTGGGATCCTTAAAACACTAAGAATCAATAACTGGATACAGTTGGTCGAATGGTTGAAAACCACTGTCGCTACTGGTGTTTAGATGCATTCACACCTTGAAGTCTCTAAAATTCATTCAATCCTCAGTATTCTTAATGTTAATATTCTTTGTGCTGTAAAATTCCGTTTATTATAAATTTTGTGTTTATTTGAATTCTTTTATTTTGACATTTCGACATCTGCTTTCTGTAAAGTGTGATAACTTTTCAAATACTTTTTCAAGTATTGGTTTTGTAGGGAATTTTTGTTTGATTGCATGGAGGATTTCATCCATGCCCCATTGAGGCAGGCAGTGACCTGGAGTTCTAGTAAGAAGCAGTGACCAGTAGGGTACAGCAGGTTGAAGATGAGGAAGTAACTCATCCAAGAAGAAGACATTACGAAACGGTCGCGCTATTTCGTGAATTGGCAGAAGTTAGAACCGGTGGTTCAATCGTCTATGAGCTATCTCGCCCTGTAACCAGAAGGTCCTGGGTTCGAACCCCGATGGGTGCTTACTGATGAAGAATTATTTGAAATTAGTAAGGAATACCTAATTTTCTGTCAACTCCTCCTAATTGTACTTTTTGTTTGATATTATTATGATCTTAATGGTGGTGATTAGTCTTCAGATCCTCTCGATATCTGTTAGTAAAGGTCATACAAGCACCTGTTTTTAGTCGACGATCGAACTGTACAACTCTCTCTTCAGTCAACTGATCGTAGTTTTGGAAAGAGAGATATTTTTTGGTTACTGGATTTCATCATGAGCTGACATTAGTTAGAAAACCATTGGAAAGCCTGCAGGGAGTAGTCTAGCGGTTAGGATTCCTGGCTTTCACCCAGGCGGCCTGGGTTCGACTCCCGGCGCGGGAGCGCTTACCAAAGCCTCAGGATGGTCGAAGGTGGATGTCTTGCGCTGCGGGTTGGCCACCCCTCCGTACACCTCGTGAAATGCTCCCATATGACCGGGCGTCTTACATAGCCTCTCCTGAGGAAGTCCTACTCACTGCCTTCACGTGGCGGAGGTGTTTTTCACCGAAGTGAGAGGGTAAAAGCGGATGCCTGGCGCTCCTCACCGGGTTGACTGTCCATTGGATGACAGTCTAGGGGAGATGGCTAAACCCTGATTCCAAATCTCCAACGACTGGCGTATGAAGCTCACCGGAGCTCACCGGCAGACGTATGGAGAAAGGGCTTATTGGATGCCGTGGATGTCTGGCCCCATTCAAAAAGGCGAATGAACCGGACTCCGGTCACCGGCTGACAATGGATAGTGGACAACCTACTCCACTCCTACTGCCTTGTAGGTCACACTTGGTTGTGTAAAGGCTAGAGCTGCACTCTCAAACAAAAGGCCGAGCGATGCTGGGGAGATCACTCGTACCCAATGATATGTATCCAAATATATGTGTATGGTGGTCTCTCTTTCTGTTTGCTCGCTTAGTCTGTGACCATTGCACTTTGATGAACCTGTCTCCTTTATCAATGTATATTCCCCTTATATTATATATAATATGAGTGTTTGTTGACAGTCCGTTGCTTGGTGACAGATATCCATATTATATGTGTGATTGTTGACATGTCTGCTATATTTTGCTATGTATATATGGATCGATACTTCATTATAATTAGCCATTCATGTTAAGACTGTCCATTGATTTGCTCACACACTTCTCTGGACATTCATATATATTTCGCTCACACAATCTTGTGTGACTACTTACTTTGGTGTGATACCACTTTTGCATTCTCCCTGTGTTTGGAAAATAGAAGTATCATCGCAAACCTAGTGGTCTTCTGATTTCCGTCTTTCTTGCGTCAGGACTATTAAATTCTCGACCAGTACATAGCAATAATTTGGCGACGAGTACATAACACCTAATTCCCATGAAACTTCATGAACTCTCGTTGCTACAACATCAACCAAATTCCAGTACTGGTCCAACAACATCGCCTTCGGTGGTTTGGCCATGTTCTGCTCCGACCAGATGACGATCTGGTCAAATCAGTTCTAAATCCCTCGCCATTTCCATCTTGGCGATGTCGCAGGGGTGAACAGCTGGAAACATGGCTTGGTACAGTCAAGGCTGATATGGAGTGCCTGGGGCTGCAAACCGTCTACGGACTCCTTCTGTGGAACAAGAATTGGATAACTCTGTCGCAAAACCTTGCATCAGATCGCCGCGCCTGGGCAGCGATGATTCGAGATGTTCATGAAGCCGGCTCATCCTCCCGTAGGAGGTAGCCGAAGTAAAGTAAAAGTAAAGGGAGTACTGGACAACCTGCTGTTTCGTCATAGTTTGGGACTCTTCATCAGTACGCATCGGCAACAGGAGGTTCGAACTCAAGACCTGGTTACAAGGCGAGCTGGTAGATCTTCAGGCCACTTGGACCCGATCCAGTGGTCAGCCCATAAATTCCAATTTCTGCGAGTGGCCCTATTCAGGTAGGTGGTTTTCTGGGTTTCTAGTGGGACGTCGTGACCAGTAGGGTGCAGCAGGTCGGTTGTAAGGACAAATGCTCACCGAAGACATTGGCTAGTGGTCGCACTATATCGTGAATTGGCAGAAGTTAGAATTCATGGGCTGACTGTTGGATCGGGTCCCAGTGGCTTAATAGTCTACGAGCTAGCTCGTCTTGTAACCAGAAGGTCCTGGGTTCGAACTTCCTGTGGCGGGTGCGTGCTGATGATGAGTCCCAAACTAGGCTGACGGAACAGCTGGCTGTCCAGTTCTCTCTGTAGGTTTTCCAATGGTTCTCTAACTGATGTCAGCTCATGATGAAAGCCTCCACCCAATCTGTTTTTCACTGTCTTTAGAATTATTAGGAATCTGTCAGAATCAATGTGGTGGTGGTGATGGTGATGGTTGTAATCATATTTCATTTGTAACCTATTCTAAATTCTAGTTCACTGTATCCTGCTTTATGATGCAACATCCTCTAAGACTGAGACTACCCTTCAATCTGTAATCTTCATTTTTTCTAAATGTGTGTGTGTGTAGTGACTGTGGGTTATATTGGTTTGTTTAGGCGCTAAACTTTCAACTATCGATGGAACACAGGTTCGAATCCCTCTCCAGGTGTTTTGGTTTTGGCAGGCATGTGACGTCATTAGTCCTTATTCACACACACACATACACACATTGGAGGTATGGCTACAGTGCCTCCTACAATTTTGACTTTCAGTTTTTCACGCAATAACAAGCGCATTGTTGTTTGCAATGCGTAAGAAGGAATAATATTAAGCATTAGCTTTTCAATTATTATTTCTCACTTTCAATTCAGATATAGTATATAATATGATTGATGGAAAGGCAGGTAAGACTATTAGCAGTGTATTACTTGCAATAGACAATCTACTATTTATGAATGTTTGAATGTGTATGTATACTAAATTGCATATAGTCTAGTTCACTATGTTTCTTGTGAATTGCATGTTCTTTGCTATTATAGTTTACTTTTACCATTTACCAGCGCCCCCCTCCCCAACCACCCACCTCCTCCCTTCTGCTAAACACATTATTATTTGCATGCTTAGCAAGTATTTCCAATGATGTGTGTGTGTATGTGCGTGTTTGTGTGTGCGAGTGTCTGATTATCTAATCTAATCTACTCAAATCAAATCTAGATAGATACTGGTGATCACTTTTAGTTACCCCCTTCTGTTACACTGAAGATTATATTTACTTGATTCATGAAGAACGGGATGCTTGGGTGTGTGTGTGTGTTTCGGATTATTTGTGTGTCTTCTTTTCAAAAATTTAAACCAATTAGTCCCTTTTTTTTATAAATTTGGATAGTGTTATTTATTGGAAGACAGAGATTATCTGAAAACGTATATGATGTGATGTATTTGCGCTATACATTTCCAACAATCTGATCCGCCACATATTTACTTGTCAAGTCGACTATATATCTTCTAGTTGTTTTTCATTTCCTTTTTCCCCTTAAACTTATTTGAAGGATTTATTACTATTATGTACTGACAAGGTCCATTTCACGATTGAAGGTAAACATTTTCGACAAGTGGATGGTGTTACTATGGGGAGTCCATTAGAACCTTTGTTAATAGACGTTTACACGTCTTATGTTGAGAATTTGTCCCTTGGTTTAATTTTTAAATTGCCCTTCTATAAGAGACATGTAGATGAAAGTATTTTGATGTGTGACAATCATATAAAATGCGAGTCGTCTGTAGAGAATTATCACGGAAGAAAGTCGTAGCCAGCTTGCATTTTTAGACATATTTCTGAGTTGATGGTTGATGATGGTTCAATAAGACGATCAAATTACAGAAAGCCCATTTGGACAGGGAAGTACCTTAATTTTCACAGTTTCTGTCCATTACAGTATAAGAGAGGCTTGGTGAAAGGTCTATTTAAGATGATTCAACGTATTTACACGGCTGATGTTATGGACAAAGAAAATGAAATATTGATGGATACCCTTGTTGATAACGGGATATCCTTTAAAATTTTTAAAGAAGTGTAAAAGACATTTACTCTTTAAACCTATAATCTCTACCGCCACTGGAGAAAATGTCTTCATCAGACTTCCATATAGCAAGGAAATTAACAGTCGGATTTTGAGATAAAGGTTGAATTCGGTCATTCATAGGACCTATTGTGCACCCCAGCTTGTAATTATTGAAAAAAACCATTGCAAACATCAAAAGTGCACAAGTGATTATGTCACATCCCACACTATTTACCAATTTTCCTGTGTGTGTGTGTGGACACGCATACATAGGGAAGAGTAATTGTGCTTTGCATGTGAAGGTGGGAGAGCATATCCCGAAATGTTTAGAAAGACAAATGATTTGTGGAAAACCGATAGACGCAGATAGCCGAATACCAACTTCGTCTATAGCCAAACATCTAATTGAGATGAACCATAAGCTTGATGGTAACACATCCTTTAAGGTTGTCTATAAAAATGGTCAAGGATACTTATTAAAATACCTTGAAGCTATAGCTATTGCTAAACTTAAGCCCCTCCTGTGTATTCAAAAATAGTTTATTATTACTCTTAATCTACCTTGGTAATCCTTATTTGATTGGACTATCAAATGTTGTGTTAATAATTCTTAAATCCTTTTTTGTTTGCTCTGTTGAATTTAATTGCCCTTAATTTTTTATATGTATATATATCGACTTGACAACAAGTGAATGTGTGATCAGATTGTTGGAAATGTATAGCGCAAATACATCACATCACATATGTTTTCATATAATCTCCGTCTTCTAATAACGCTAACCAAATTTATTTTTGTGCATTTAGCCAATGTACAACCTACATATTGCATAATCCTTTAACAATGACTGACTCACCTCACACACTCACTCCCTATGGATGGATAATAAGTAGACATAGATAGAATGAGTTCTTTTTTTGAAGCACCTGTAGCATGAGAGGCTAATTTGCTAACGCGACTTAATAACTTATTTTGTGTTTTACACTTATCGGTTTTAGCACTTTTGTTATGTCAAACTGGCTTAGATTGGATGCGTGCATATTGTTTTAACCATGCTCGTGCACAGTTTGACTGGTGTATTGACTGAATAGTGTATTCTTCTAATAAACAGAAAGTTCCCATAAACATAAGATGAAGTAACGGTAAGGGGGGATTTTTCTTTTCTTTCTGCGACGAATCATTTTCAAACGACTGTGTGAGACTCAATGTTCCAGTAAGTGTATTGCGCAATGTCAGGTGTAATCTAGAAGTGATTGACTGAGTGAATTAGCACAAGTCAGAATTCAAGGACTATTGGATCGGGTCCCAATGGCTCAATGGTCTACGAGCTCGCAGGCCTTGTAACCAGAAGGTCCTGGGTTCGAACCTCCTGTGGTGGGTGCGTACTGATGAAGAGTCACAAACTAGGATGAAACAGCCGGCTGTCCAGTACTCCCTGTAGGTTATCCAATGGTTCTCTAACTGGTGCCAGCTCATGATGAAACCTTCTATGCAATCAAAGAAAATCCCTACAAAACCAATACTTGAGTGAAGATTAGCATTAAGTACCGGAATTTGGAATTACGTAATAAATGTGGAAAAAAGAGACTAGTCAATCTAAATGTACAAAATAGACGAAGGCTAGTGGATATATGACATTGTTAGGTGATCTCTGTTCTCAAGAGTTAGTTTGGAGGGATTTAATTTGTTTTCAAGTTTGACCACAGATTGGTATCAGTTATTTAACCTGATGCTCGGTAGTGACTGGTGACAGAGCAACGTTGAGTGGAGTGCTAATGAGAAGTCATGATCAGTGAGGTCTATCCGTTTGCGAGTGAGGACAAATATTAACCCATTATATGGACTAATGCTGGTCGCGCTAAAATCACGAATTGGTAAGAGTTAGAATTCATGGACTGGCGATTTAGTGTAATCCCAATGGCTAAGTGGTCTACGAACTCGCCCTGTAACCGGAAGATCTTGGATTCGACCCCTGACGGTGGGTGTCTGGTGGTGGTGAGTCCGAAACTAGAACGAGGTGGTAGCTGTCTAGTACTCCCTGGTTTTCACTGGTTCTCTAACTGACATCAATCCATGGTTAAACTTAAAACCTCCTCGGCATAGGGGATGTTATTAATTTCATGCTCCTTTGCTACTATTTGAAGCACGCCAAAGTAGCGTTTCATATGCTTCTACTTTTATCCTTAAAGAAAATGGTGTTCTTTTAATACCATAGTGTTTTGCCTATAAACTATTCACAGCTGCTAGACGAGATTTAGTATGTTATGTATAGTTGTCATACGACTGAATGACACACGTAACTCTCTGTTAAGCTTCCCCTCCAAAGCCTCAGGATGGTCGGGGGTGGGTGCCTTGCGCTGCGGGTTGGCCACCCCTCCGTACACCTCTTGAAATGCTCCCATATGACCGGGCGTCTTACATAGCCTCTCCTGAGGAAGTCCTACTCACTGCCTTCACGTGGCGGAGGTGTTTCTCACCAAAGTGAGAGGGCGAAAGCGGATGCCCGGCGCTCTCCACCGGGTTGACTGTCCATTGGATGACGGTCTAGGGGAGATGGCTAAACCCTGATTCCAAACCTCCAACGACTGGCGTATGAAGCTCACTGGAGCTCACCGGCAGACGTATGGACAAAGGGCTCGTTGGATGTCCTGGATGTCTGGCCCCATTCAAAAAGGCGTATGAATCGAACTCCGGTCACCGGCTGCCAATGGATAGTGGACTCCTTACTCCACTCCTACTGCCTTGTAGGTCACACTTGGCTGTGTAAAGGCTAGAGCTGCACTCTCAAACAAAAGGCCGAGCGATTCTGGGGACATCACTCGTACCAAATTCCCATGAAACTTCATGAACTCTCTTACAAATTGCCGCGCCTGGGCAGCGATGATTCGAGACGTTCATGAAGCCGGCTCATCCTCCCGTAGGAGATAGCCGAAGTAAAGTAAAGTAAGTAAGTAAGTAAGTTAAGCTTCCCCAAATACAAGGCTAAGCTGTTTCAGATAGCTTCACCAAAAACGTATACATAGATAATAATTCTATGGAAAAGAGGAAAGAATCGGTTATTTGTTCTTAGTCTGTCCGGAGTGTCAGTCTTTTTATTGTAACTGTCTCTACGATTGCTCTGTAAGCATTCATCTCTCCTCCTCGTACAGTCTCCTACATGCCACCCTCGTACACACGCCCAACTCATTGTTTTCTGTTCGCCTTTTACTGGAGGGCGTAGCGCGTTATATCAGTCAACGACGTTGTCAGTGTATGTGAAATCCACTTCCATTTCCTTATGCATATTTGTTGGGTAATAGGTTGTTGGTTGTTGAACGTTGTCAGGCTGTTGTAAATGTTTTTGTGGCCGACACCTTCCAAGTCTTTGGATACCGTATAACAATAACAATGGTGGAGATTTAGCTTATTGACTTAAGCACTCGACGTTTGGGTTGCTTAGTAGCATAGCGGTAGAATGCTCACTGACTACTTATGTGGTCCGGTGTTCGATCCCTGGTCGACGCTTCCTCCTGTACCTTGCTAAGCCAGTAATGAAACTCGTAAATAGGGAAGGTTGGGCATTAGGATAGCAACCTGATGCCGTAAAAATAAACACCACCTCTACCGAAACTTCAAGCCTCAAGCTTGAAGCCCTATGTTCCACTGGGAATGTAAAGGATCATAAGCGAGCGAGTCACGGGATGGAATCTCTCTCTATCTATTCCAACTTGGGTCACTCGATGGTATACTCAGTCCTCATATACAGTAAGTGTGGTCTGTAGCTTGGTACTGGGTAACTGTGAGTTTGTAGCCATAGTAGCACTAATTTCACACTAATATTGTAAATTTTATATCTTTGATCCTT